GGCAATGGTGCGAGCAAGAAACGCCAAGATTCCGGTGATGACCAAAGTTCAGAATCAGGAAACGGCAATGGTGCGAGTAAGAAACGCCAAACTGATAACCAAGGTTCAGGAAACGGCTCCAATGGTAATGGTGATAGCCAAGGTTCAGGTGCAAATAAAAAACGTGCTGGTGCAAAATAAGTGAATCCAATTGAAATTTTTATAAAAAGGCCACTTTTTTTTTACAAACATTATATCTGAAAAGTGGAAAAGGTTATATTTAAATGTGAATAAAAGCTTATAATGTTATCAAAAAGTAGATAAAATTAGTAAATTTAGATAGGTTAGATAAGTTATATTTGAAATTGGATAACAAAATAAATAATAATAATAATAAACCAATTTTTTTTTTTGCAAATTTCACGAACTCTACCGAATTATATCGAATTGTAGTCTATATTGCAGTATATTTTAAGTTTTACTATGGTTAAGTAATAAATTTTACTGCAACAAGTGGATAAGCGTAATTAACATTCTCTAAATGCAAAATTTGATAAAATACGAAGCGTAAGAGCTCTTCGAATCCTAATGTATACGCTGTATCTCGGATTAGAGTCGTGAATCGGCATGAGAATTTTGACGAATTATTTTGGCAGAATTAGGGACTTAGTTAGAATTAAGGTTTATAATAACAAATTTGATTTTAGTTGGTATAATTTTGCCAAAATTACATTGTTAGTTTTGTAATGGACTTGTCGTGATTTGTATGGCGATTTGCTGTAAAACTTCAGTTACTGTACTTACTCGCTATGATAAGTGATTTAGATAGGTCATTTTACTTACCCGGGACTGTCGAGCCGATTCCAATCCGAAATACAACATATACAATGAACCCTTTCTAAATGCACAAATTCAGATCCAAATATATATTTGACCTCCAGAAATGCACCTTTCTTATTGTTCTCTAAGTGCAGGTCGTTAAAATTTGGCCCCTATGTGGTGCATTTAGAGAGGTCTGACCACATATAGTCATATTTAGTTGACTCTTTTTAACATAATTTTTAGTTATTTTACAGCTAGTCCTGGCAAATAGCTGTTTGAAAACAACCCTTACTATTTTTAAATTAATAATCATGTATTAGCATATTTTTTTTCACAAAATCCAATGATTTGATTTGAAACATCTTAGTAAGAAGGGTCGAATCCATTACAGGATCCTAAAAAACTTGTCCCCAAATTTAAAATATTCGAATATTCACACATTCAAACAATACTGCAGCTATTGAATAGTTAAAAATCAAGCTAATAATTAGCTTTATTTAGATTTAACAATTTACAACTTACGCATACTGTTTCAACTTATTTGAATATACATAAAAATCTATAACATTACAAAATATTTAAAAAATTTAATATGCGTTAATTGTTTTATTTTCTTTATTCTTTATAAGAAAATTACTTATTATATCTAAAGTATTGTCAATTTTATTTCCAAAAAGTTCTAAAGAAATTATAGAAACATTTTTGCAAAATGCTTCCGCCAATGTTTTCCCTGCTTCAGTGTCAAGATCATTTTCTCTAAGATTTAAGTAGGTTAAAGCTGTGTTCTCATAAAGAGCTTTTGCTAATGCTTTCCCTCCTTCAGAACCAATTTGATTTCTACTATAGTCAAAGAGGCTAAATCATTATTTATATAAAGTGACTCCGCTAATACTAATCCAGTTGATTATTTCTAAGATTTAATTGTTTTAAAGTAATATTTACAGGAAGAACTGCAGCCAATGCTTCTACTGTTTCATGATTAAGAATATTATTCGAAAGATTCAAGGAGGTTAATGTAGTGTTTATATAAAGTGTTGTCGTTAGTGCCTTCCCTCCTTCAGGCTCAAGTATATTATTCCAAAGGCGCAAATAAGTTAGTGTATTATTTTTACAAAGTGCTCCTGCTAATGCTTCGGTGCCAAGTCGGATTGTTATAATATCCAATGATTTCAAACTATTATTCTTATAAAGTACTTTTGTTAGCACGTTTAACCTGACTAAAATTTCAAAGATGACAAAGTTACGCTTTTATTGAGAATATTTAATAATAAATTGTCTAGTTTACCGTAAAATTTTAAGTCTTTAAGCTTCTTGCTAGTTCGTAGAATCTTTAATATTAATGAATGTTTGATAGCTTGGACTACATTTATAGACCTAAGGTAATAATAATAATTATGAAGATAATAATAATAAGATCCATATCCTTGATGTCTAACTAATTTATAATACCATCTTCAAAGTCTATATTAATAATTGTTACATAAGTAGTATACTCAAATAATGGTTTGAGTTCTTTTGGAAATACTATATTAAACGAAATTAATTGCGCTTATTCATGTTCATTTAGTGTCAAAAGACATGTTTTTACAAGTTTTCTATCTTTAAAAACTTCTACCTTACTCCATAATATTGGTACAACATATCTACACCATCTTCGGTTTACAAGAAGACATGAAAATAAGCTTTTATAACAACCTTTAAGATTGTTAAATTTCTATTATACATTCGCTTGACAACAAAGATATTAAATAATAATTTATTTTTTGATTCTTGAACTTAAATCAATTCTGAAGTACTTTTGAACATGCCCGTAGCTGACATTGGAATACATTTACAAAATTAATACGATTACCACACTTGCTGCATTATTTGCCGTAAAAAATGTAAACTGTGTAATATCGTAATGCCATACTGCAGATTGGGAAGAGACATAATGAAAAATTAGGGATTAATGAAAGATTAGAGGGCACACTGGTAGGCATTCGGAAAAATATATTATTTTTACTGTATGAAACAAATAGTTTATTTTATTATGAGTTTAATCATAATTTCGCGTAATAATTGATATAGTATAATATCGATCTTCTATACTTGTACTTTAGAAACAGTTTTAGCACTAATGTTAAACAATTTTAACAAGGTTTAAGATCATCTTAAGTTCTAATGTACAAATCCGATCAAATTTCTTGATATTTGAAATCAAACAATTATAGAAATTAAAAAAATCAATTGAATATAAATAGATTAAATCATTATATTCGTAATCTGATCTTGGGAAATTAAGAAAGGTTTAAAAGAAAACAAGCATTACTTGTACAGTTATTATTAAGCTTTATGTCAGAAAAGATGACAACGTGAATAAGGTTAATTGTAAACCACAATAGATTATCTATACACAATATTGATAGAGTCATGTTATAGCTAATTAATTAGCTTAGCTCATATTCTTCCACTGAAAAACATGATGAGTGATCACTATCATATGTAGATGCGTTCCTAATTCGGTTTTTATATGAGCGTAGATAATTCCAACATTCCCTATTTTGGTTAAAATTACTCATCATAATTAAATCGCCTTTACCAAAAATTAGTCCAAAATTAGGATTACATTCAATTGCACGTCCTGGTTTTTTTACACGGCTTAAAATAGAATTTTGAATAATACCATTTTTCAATGAAAAAATAAAACTATCGTTGCAGGTCTTTTCGTGCCACCCTTTAACTGGTTTATCCCAACCGATAGGATTATAACCATCAAGAATTTCATCAGTACCATCAACCTTAATAACTACAACAAGATGAGTTTGCTTATCACATAAATTCCAAAATGAATCTTTGGTAAAACCATCTCTAGTTCCGCGAAGAAGTAATTTAAACTCGTACGGATTATTTGGTACTGAATATGTACTGTCTTTTTTATCAACCATGAAGAAATTTCTGCTGCATGTGTGCTTCATTAATAACTTTTGAAAATAGTTCTGTATTTCTATTTGGTAATTTCGGTGCTAAAATTACACGAGGAGGGAGGATTATTGATGATACTTGTCGATTTGGTGACATAAATTTATTTGTTGTATCTTTCCAAAGATTTTTTTCAAGGATTTGTTGATATGGTTGTACATTATCGATAAATTCATCACTAGACATCTGAAAATAACGGATATGAGGTAAACAATTTAGTAAAGTAGTCTTCAAACCTAAAAAATTTTCATTAGACCAGTCTTCAGGATCTGATGGGAGGCCAGAGTTTTGAGCGATTTCCCATTCCATAACACGATTCCAAATTTTTACTTCTTACATTTGTAAGTCATTTCGACAAATAAGTGACACTAAAGCATTTTTTTGAATCATGTTAAAGTCTTCTGAATCAAAAATTCTATCAGGATGCTTTGCCAATATATCATTACACCATTTTTGTAATTCTCGAAACTTATTATTCTGAAAACTTTTTGATAAATACGAGCAAAATGTAAACGAAGCCAATGAGCTTCCGTTTCAATTAAATGAGTTTCAAGGTGTTTGGCTAATTCGTCAAAAAGAAATTCATAAGCAATAAGATAAGATCAAAAATAAATGATGCATTATGATTTTCGAGTAAGACAATTCCTCCGTAGGTATACCTTTATATAAAATTAATTAGTATTTCAGATTTCTTATAACTTATTATAATTTATAAACTGTATATACAGTAGAATAACTTACTTGATTATAATTTCAAATTGTTGGATCGAAATATTTTTTAATTCAAGTGTTTTAATATTATTCTTAACTTTATTGATATTCGTCAATTCGTTACGAAAATATAATGATCTGTATCTTAAAATTGCCGAATGTGCTTGGAATATTTTAACATTTGGGATTCGCAAACTTTAATGATAACATTAAAATCTTCTTTGTCTTCATGAAGTTCAAGATAATTATTTGAAAGCTTTTCAAAGAATTTTATTGCCATTTTAAATCTCTATTGTCGAATAATGTTAATACGTACGACGAATATTTTAAAAAAAGAGCATTTCAGGTATTGAATGATGCTTTGTGTAACGTTTGACAATTTAACATGCGTACGTACGTACGTTCGTTCATTTTTAAGGGATAGACAATTGTTAAAGCAAAAAATCATATAATAATAACATAAATATAAATACGCACGTTAATAAAGTGAGGTTGTTTTTCATTTTCTGATCAATTTTAATAAAATCTAGTAAGGTGTATTGGTATTTAGTAAAACCTATATTGTTAATTTAATTTGAATTAGCGAACTTTTTTATAAGCACACTTTAAACTGAAAGCTTTTGCTTTTTTGTAGTATTTTTCATAATAATCAGCCCCTAGAGTTAAGCCAAGTGACATTGAGACGATTATGGCGAAAGTAAAAGCCCTGGTTGATGAATTTTTTAGGAATATTACAGAGGCAATGTTCAAGTACAACTTGACTACAATTTTGTGTGGCGAGTTACATCTCACTATGCACCAGCTATTGACCAACACGTAACTTCGAATAAACTGGCCAACGTTGATAAACAAGGTCGAAAATATAGTGATTACATTTATGATAACTTTGTTGGAATTACTAATTTAGCCGTGGCTACAAAGCTTTATATTGCTGCGGACGATACTGTATGTCAAACCATAAACTTATGAATTTGACAGCTATTCATTCTCAAAAATTTTCTTTGCCTAAGATGCTACATTCAATTATTGATTGCGTGGGCAAGATGGATCTTCAAAATTCTTGCAGATTACGTATTGTTGATCATGCGTTATCCTGCAAGCGGTTCGCTGTTCGTGGAATTTTTTATTGTTCGTCGGATGATCGTCTACAAGGTGATTTACTTGACAGTACAAACTATTCGCTCGCCGATTTTATCACACGGGTTTCAGAAAAGGATTGGTTGTCCGGCATGATTGATTCTTATTCACTGGATTGCCTTAAAGCTATTGCTCGTCGTAAATTTGAAGAGCTGATAAACCGATCATTTGAAGTAAAGATTCATAATTCAACCAACAAATATCGTATTCGTTTACCCGAATTCGATTTTGAGAATGTAACTCTTGATACGATTAAAACGTATCTTAACAATCCTATTTTCGAAAATTTAATTGATGGAGATCTTAAAACCGTTTTGAGAATTGCCACTCTTTTAACTTTACAATTGGCCACCATAAGGTGGATAAAACGGGGAGCTTCACAAAGTACGATAAAACATCTTTATAGTGAATCAATCTATCCTGAAGTTGATGATGCCAAATTAGTGGATATTATGAATGAAGTAAAAATTTGGAACATCAATGACTATTATTCTGATAAAACTCTCAATTATATGATCGAAGAATCTGCTCATAGATGGAATACTGGTATAGTTCGTTCGTTGTCTAAATTTTTATCAATTGCAGACATGGAATACTCTAAATTTGGGACTAAAGCCCAACTCGTAGAGTTTGGTCCCGGAGCTATCAATACTGAGAGGAATAATATTTTTGGGGAGCACTCCTTTTCCTAGAAGGGTCATTCGGAGGCGAAAGCTGCTTTAAAACTTTCTCCATCGGATGCTATCATCGGTGTCGCTGTGGGATTCAATGATTCAGTTCAAGCTACTGGGGGATTCAATATTAATTACGTTCAAAACCAGAATCGCATTCTTACTGAATATTTGATGTATGATTTATTTAACTTTAAAATTCTTATGTTTTTCTACTATGTAGTTTATTTTGTTTTTGTTCTATATTCAATAAAGTATTCCGAATAAATCAATCTCTTTCATTTTAAGGTTGATATGTTTTTTTAAAAAAATGTATGAGGGCGGTTCGACTGACAATTTTTGTGATCAAATATCTAAAATAGAGATAGAATAGAAAGAAAAGTAAAGCTCATAACAAAAATAATATTCACCAAGGGCAGAAACCCTGGCAATGAAGAAATAAAAGATAGGCAAAAAAGCCGGGAGAAAAAAAGATGAAAAATCCACAAAACTAGATCGATATCGAAAACGAAACTGACAACAAAGAAAACCCGAATCCCGCAGAACAGGTGAATAAATCAGAGAATATTACATTAAGTGATAAAAAAAAAGGAGCCAACAACTGATTTAATTGGGCTGGAACAGAGGGAAGCAGATTGTAAGGCCTTTCTATGCTCTACTAATTTGAGTCTATGTCCAGCTGTACTTATATTTATCTATTTTTGAACAATTATATCCCTATAAAATTTAATCAGAATTTCATTATGATAAATAAAACAGACTAATAAACATGATAAATAAAATGATGATCAACGGAATAATGTGATAATAACAAAATAGAGAATATCAAAGCTAATTAAAAGTTAATTAGTAGTTTGTTGTCGATACAAAAAAAAGAATTTATACGCCTGAACAAATGGCTGCAAGAAATGATGCTGGAAGAAAGAGATTGACTCTTATGACACCCGAAGAACAGTTAAGTTACCAAAACGATAAGTCAATAAAAAGGCAAGATTAGTATATACATCAAAATAATAATGTCGAAAAAGAAAGCACAAATTCAAATGACGAACGTAATGTTTATTATAATTTCAATAAATCATAAAATGTCGACTATTTATATTAGCTAATTTTTTTTCTTTAGATGACTAAAGATTCTGGTCATTATCACTTGTATATACTTTTTAATTATGACGAGGGTCTTCTATAAGTTTCGCAATGCAGTTTCTGCGCTTAACTTCAATTCTGCCTTATTTGTAAAGAGAGTTTTCTTACGTTCGTATTAGGACATAAAACAGGATTATGTACTAGATGTAATAAAGAAAAATTAACCCCTAAAAGTTTTAAATGAAAACGATATGGATTCTAGTATGTAAAAAATATAATTTTAAAGTTTTTATTTGTAAGAGAAATTCCTGGTGAATTTTCACAACTCAGCAAGTTGAAGAAATGTTTATTGCACAGGTTCTTTCTATATTTACTATTTACAAGTTTCAAGGCAGTCAACTTGGGTATCAAGAGAATATAATTTAAATATCCAAGTGTTTATTATAAAATTATACTGGAAATCTTTCACAATTGTTATTTAATTATTTAAAAGTCTAAACAAAACCTTACTTCATTTTAAGATTTTAAAGTCAAATAGTTAAATATTTTAACTTCTTAAAAATAATAATATTTTTCATTCCAATAGTGAAATTGAACTGTAATAATAGATCATGCTTTGGTAGTTGTTAGAATCTTATTATACCACTTTATAATCACTCTTTTGGGACTATAGAAATTTTTTTAAAAAGATGTTCTTGTAAAGAGATGTGCTTATATCGTTATATACTAAATAGTAATTAGGCTTAAATATAGGTGTGATTATAAAAAGATTTTTATATAATGTGATTATATAGGGGCAATTATAAAGAGGTATGACTATAAATAGTACAGGTAAGAATAAATAATATTGTAGGCACCTATTTTATAAAAAAGCAGTTAGAAATAAACATGTGGATCATAATAGTTGATTATCTATTTATAGAGGATTATAAAGTACTTCAACTTCATAAAAAATCAAATTATAGACAAAATATCAATATTTGTATAATTATTTTATATTATTTTATTACAGTAATACAATATTATTATTGATGCATTTACTTGATTGAATAAATAAATCATTTTTTAGTTTCTAATAAATAATTATGTTTAGAGATAGATTTTATGTCTAGTTTATTTTTTATTAAGTGTAAAAATTTTACATTTATTTAATTACACTTTCTAATAAAGTTGTTCTTCTCAATAATCATACTGTTTGTTTTACATAAAAAAGATGTGATTATAAAATTTTAATAGTAATGCGATTATCTTATAATTCTCTACAGTCATCTCTTATATAATCACACCCTCTTAATAAGCACTATTTTTTGAAAAATTATTGGCAATAAATTTATTAAAAAACTTTATAATTATATACTATTAAAATTTTATAATTACATCTTTTTTATATAAAATAAACAGTATATTTATAGAGAAGGATTGCTGTAGTGCTTATAAAGAGAGTATAATTATATAGGAGGTGACTGTAAAGGAGGATGACTGTATTAATTTTTTTTATAATTATATAACAAGGGTGATTCTATTTTTGAACCGGGTATTATACTAAATATATATATATTTATATTCAAGATCTTTATAAAATAATGTCGGGGATGATACTGAAATTGGCTGATGCTAAAATTTAGGGTCCACATTTAAATCTATAATACCTACTAAAATTCACATATACTTTTTTACTAACAACTCTACCCTCAAACCATAATCTAATTCTAAAAAAAAACCCCTAACAAAATTTTTAAAAATTTCATAATAAAATAAGTCAAAATTTCAGCATCATCCCTGACAAATAATATTAAAACTATGAAAAGTGCCCTGAATAGTTACTATAGTGTTAATGTATTATAATCATGTATCCTACGTCTCAAAAAACAATATCTATATTAGGATTAATTAACCAAGATTTATAATAAAAATAGATTAGACTTATTTTTATAAATCTAATCTAGCAACAATATAGAAAATTAAGAAAGATTGAAAAAAAAACAAAATTCATTATTCTAAAGACAAATATGTACTGCCAGTAAAATAGCTTAATAACATAAAGCAACAAAAATATAAGCTTGCAAACTTGTAAGATATTAAGACATAGTATTATAGCTAAGAATATTTAATTGTAGCGTTTGTTACATCTATTATTAATTTGGGATTAGGGCTAAATTCTATTATAACAATTAAATTTGTTATATATTGTAATCTTTTATAATAAATAGTTTATTTTTTTTATGCTTATTATTATTTTAATTTAATTCATATAATAGTATTTTTTAAATAAAATCTTGGATTATATGATTCTATTTGTATTAGGATTATGATTTTAGATTCTGAGTTGTTAAATTTCATAGTAATATATTTATTAACACAAATTAATTCTATATTAGTCATTATAGTAATTAGTTTTGTATAAAATATTGCAAATAATTTGATTAACCAATAATATTTTTGCAATATCATGGATAATCTACAAAAATCTGCCAATTATAATGAAAGCCTGCTATGCTACCAGATGGGTTAATTTATATAAAGTGGCCTACTATATTATTACAGACACTTTTCAAACTTTTATATTGAGCTAAATAAATAAGATATAAATCTAAAAATTATACAAATTATTAATTAAATCTAAAATTTTTAAATAAAAAAAGTTTGCAAAATTCTATACAGTAGTTTTTGTTAGTTAAAGTTACACAATTTTGTATAATATTACACTTATATAAAATTAGTTGTTATAATTACTGTATATTAAAAATTTTTTATTAAGTAAGCTATATGTAATTATTATGTAAAATTTGTTCAGTATAATAAATTACATATAATTCTAAATTTTTAAAAACTTTTAAAAACTTTTAAGCTAAATATTATTACTTAAAGTCAATGTTAAATTATTAACATAAAATTAACAAATTACTAAATATAGTAATTTACTAAGTATTTTTTAAAAAATTATAAAATTTTCATGATATGTACAATTTGTTATGCTAAATAACTTTATTAAAAAAAAATTGCTAGTACACTTGCAAAAAAATTAAATTATACTAAACCTATATATATATTTTTTTTTTATTATATAATGTCATAGTAGAAACTTTATTACAGTCAGTCCGAAGATTGAAAGTTATCTTATAGTCT